AAAAGAAAAATGAAAACAAAGTTTATGCAAATGCGATGCATAATAATAAATAAATTATATCGTATTGAATGATAAATCAAATAGTAGGGACATCACATCAACATAAATCGCGTTTTCTTGTAAGAAAATTTCCAAGAATTAGATTAGAAGAGAAAAAAAAAAGAAAAAAAAAAACAAAGATTAATAGGAATAATCATTTATATCATCTACGATTGATAGATACTAAACGTACGAGATGAGGAATTGCAATAAATGAATGATTCTACCGTAACAGAGTGGGCGAGGTATAAAACGATTGCTTCTACGTCTCTGAGCTTCAGTCTCGAAGATAAATCGAATGAAAAGAGTTCGTAAAAGTTCTTGTGTCTTTCTGTATGTGTCTATGTGTGTGTGTCTTCCTTCAATGGTGTGAAACACCACTTTAAAAGGTGTCATCATCATTTTTTTTTTTTTTTCTATACATCTTAAACAAAACACCCTTTACCCTCCTGACGTGAAAACAAACAAAAAATTTAATTAAACAATTAGAAGTTGAAGAAAAAGTTGAAGATGAATTTTCTGTCGAGGATTAATAAATTATTATTATTATTATTATCATCATCATTATCATCTACATTGATTTACTTTACGATAATATTTTTCGTTTGTTCTATTAATGCAACATTAACCGAAGATAAAGGTAAATAATTAAATAATAATTATTATAATATACACTTGTAGAAAAAAATATTCTAATGTTTGTTTTTTTTTCTTTATTCCGTTGATGAATCAGATTTTTTTCTAATAGAAAATTATTTGAATTAATCGAATTTTGTTATAATAAATGATGATCTAATCGTGTATATGATGTATATTATTAATCATTCTTGATAAAAATGGATTTATCTAATTAAATTTTCGAATCAATTGATTAATTAAAATTAGCAATGGTTCGTTCAGGAAATTCATTTGAATTTCATGCTAGTTTATTTTAAATTGGAACGTTTTTATGATTTTTTTTCGTATCACGTATAATTTTTGAATTTTCTATCCAAATTATCTCTCATCGTGTTATAACATATATAAATAT